GGTGTTTTTGGGGTTGTGGTCACTCATTGGTCACTCAGGGGTCACTCAGGGTCATTTTTGGGGCAATTTCCGGGGATTTTGGGACATTTTGGGTCAATTTTAGGGGATTTTGGGTCTTTTTTAGGGGATTTTTGGGGCATTTTTAGGGCGTTTTTTGGGTCATTTTTAAGGCGTTTTTGGGGTTGTGGTCACTCATTGGTCACTCATTGGTCACTCAGGGTCATTTTTGGGGCAATTTCTGGGGATTTTGGGACATTTTGGGTCAATTTCTGTCAATTTTTGATAATTTTGGGTCTTTTTTAGGGGATTTTTGGGGCATTTTTAGGGCGTTTTTTGGGTCGTTTTTAAGGTGTTTTTGGGGCTGTGGTCACTCATTGGTCACTCATTGGTCACTCGAGGTCATTTTTGGGGCAATTTCCGGGGATTTTGGGACATTTTGGGTCAATTTTAGGGGATTTTGGGACATTTTGGGTCAATTTCTGTCAATTTTGGGTCATTTTGGGTCTTTTTTAGGGGATTTTTGGGGCATTTTTAGGGGATTTTTGGGCTGTTTTTAAGGTGTTTTTGGGGTTGTGGTCACTCATTGGTCACTCAGGGTCATTTTTGGGGCAATTTCCGGGGATTTTGGGACATTTTGGATCAATTTTGGATAATTTCGGGTCTTTTTTAGGGGATTTTTGGGTCATTTTTGTGCCATTTTTGGGTCATTTTGGGCTCATTTTTGTGCTATTTTTGGGTCATTTTGGGTCATTTTTGGGTCATTTTTGTGTCATTTTTGGCTCATTTTTTGGGGGGATTTTGGTGCCATTTTTGGTCATTTTTTGGGTTATTTTGGTGCCATTTTTGGCTCATTTTTGGCTTATTTTGCCTTATTTCGGGCTCATATTTATGGGAATTTTTGTGCCATTTTTTGCTCGTTTCTGCTCATTTTTTTGCCCGTTTTTGGCTCATTTTTAGCTCGTTTTTGCCTCATTTCGGGCTCATTTTTTAGGGAGATTTCTGCCTCATTTTTTTACTCTTTTTTGACCCATTTTTTGCTCGTTTTTGGCTCATTTTTTGCTCATTTTTAGCTCGTTTCGCCTCATTTCGGGCTCATTTTTCATGGGAATTTTTGTGCCATTTTTTCCTCATTTTTTCCTCATTTTTCCCTCATTTTTCCCTCCTTTTTGCCCCATTTTCTGCCGTTTCTGCCTCTTTCCCAGCCCTCACTACTGCGAGTACCTGGTGTCGCTCAGGGGTCACTCGGGGCCATTTTGGGTCATTTTTGGGTCATTTTTGGGTCATTTTTTAGGGGGATTTTTGTGTCTTTTTTGGCTCATTTTTGGCTCATTTTTTGCTCATTTTTTCCTTATTTTTTTACTCTTTTTTGGCTCATTTTTTGCTCATTTTTTGCTCATTTTTTGCTCATTTTTGGCTCCTTTTTTGCTCATTTTTGGCTCGTTTCGCCTCATTTCGGGCTCATTTTTTAGGGGGATTTCTGCCTCATTTTTTGCTCGTTTTTGGCTCATTTTTTGCTCATTTTTGGCTCATTTTTTGCTCATTTTTTGCTCATTTTTGGCCCATTTTTTGCTCATTTTTGGCTCGTTTCGCCTCATTTCGGGCTCATTTTTTAGGGAGATTTCTGCCACATTTTCTGCTCATTTCTGCTCATTTTTTCCTCATTTTTTCCTCCTTTTTGACCCATTTTGTGCCATTTTTGCCTCTTTCCCAGCCCTCACTACTGCGAGTACCTGGTGTCGCTCCGGGGTCACTCGGGGCCATTTTGGGTCATTTTTTTGTCATTTTTGTGCCATTTTTGGGTCATTTTGGGTCATTTTTGGATCATTTTTAGGTTTTTTTTTTGTGTCATTTTTTGTCATTTTGGTGCCATTTTTGGGCCATTTTAGGTCATTTTTTTGCCATTTTG